AAAAAAAAAAAAAAAAAAAAGTGTATGGTAGGAGGTCAAAATAAGTTTGTATACAAACTTTAAGACATGACCACCAATAATAAATAGTAAATAATAATATAATAAATAAATAATAAGAATAATAAAAATAATAATAGTAATAATAATAATAATAATAGTAATAATAATAATAATAACAATGATAACAGCAATAATAATAATACTGATAACAAAATAATATATATATATATATTATATATTTTTTATAATTTACATTTTTATTTTATTTATCTTATATTTCTTTTAAGCTTTTCACTTATAACTACTTTACTACTAACGTAATTATGTAAGTGGCATACCACACGGCAGCTTTCTGGGGCCTCTCCTTTTTGTTTTTACATATTTACGATTTATCAGGATGTGTTAATTCAGAGGTTTTCCTTTTGGCTGATGATACCAAACTATGTCAAGATGTATACATATTTAGGGATCATTTACAACTGCAAAACGAACTTGAGAATCTGATAAAATGGTCATCAACTTGGTTATTTGAATTTAATTCTCAGTTTTGCCGTTAGAAACGAGAAAAGTTAGATGTTTTTTTATTACTATATAAGGTTTTTGTTAGACCCCCATCTTGAGTATAGTGTCTCAGTCTGGTGCCAACATTTAAAGAAACACATCAACCTGATCGAGAATGTGCAACATAGAGCTATTAGACTTGTTCCTTGACTGAAGGGCTTAGTTACTCTAATATTCTTCGTACATTAAATCTGCCTACTCGTAAGTACAGAAGATGTAGAGGCGATATGATTGAGACACTTAAAATTCTAAATAATAATGATAGTCATTACCCACTTTTTAACCAATCATATACCTGGAATCTATGTATGCGTTATATAAAATTGATTATCATTTGCCAAAGTTTTGAGTAAAGGTATTATGGCTTTTAAGTCTTCTAATGCTCATTACTCAGTTTAACATATTGCTCCAATAAACTTGTTCTGGGAAGGCATTCCTCAATTTATAATTTTTATCACCATTATTATTGTTGTTACTATTATTAAAGGTGTAATTGTTTTACAGTACAGCGCAGTTACGCTTCATGGGGGTAAGAGTCAAGAACAGCGTGAGTATGCTTTGGCAAGTTTGAAGAATGGTTCCAAAGACATTCTTGTTGCTACGGATGTTGCTGGGCGTGGTATTGATATTCAGGACGTCTCGATGGTTATCAACTTTGATATGGCCAAGTCCATTGAGAGTAAGTGTAATCCTAGTCTTGTTATATATACTATACAAAAGATATTGATGCAATTTCAATTACGCAAAACCATTTTTTCACCTGGATTTATTTTGAAATAATTAAAATATATTATTAAAAAAATATTTAATTATTATATATTTAAAATATGTGTTAAATAAATATAATTAAAATATTTTGCAGACTACACACATCGTATAGGTCGTACAGGACGTGCTGGTAAAAAGGGCGTTGCCGTAACATTCCTGACGCCAGATGATAGTCAGACGTTCTATGATTTGAAGCAACTGCTGGTCAATACTCCAAACTCGACATGTCCACCAGCTCTAGCTAACCACCCTGAGGCCCAACAGAAACCTGGCACAGTTATACAGAAAAAGAGGAAGGATGAAACTCTGTTCATTAATTAGGGGTTTTGCTGTCACCTCTCTGCTGCAGCTTATGGTAAAGGTGTACAGTGGCGGATTCAAGGGGGCCTAGCCAACCAGGTACAAAGCCCCCCCCCCCCCAAATTTTCCAAAATTATAAAAAAATAAATGGAGAAAAAAAAAATTGAGTGCCATTTCCAGCCATCTAGAGGTGCCACAATGTTAAATTTTCTTAACCACAACCCCAAACATGATGGGGCTCAGGCAAGGGTCATTTCCCCTTGTCAGACAGACCTGGAACCCCTGTTGTCCAAAACTACAAAGAGGTTGGCAGATCAAAAATTTGAAAAAATAATAAATTGCCTTTCCAAGTAGCGTCATTTTGATTGTCCGTACCTAATATTGTGATATAAAGGCACAATTTGGACCATAATAAGTCTGGAAAACTCTCCCCATGAACCTGAACAGGGACAACGACTGAGGCTCTAGTCGGCCCATTTGTTTGTACCTCTACGTCGAACATTTCGGACCCCTTGTCTGCAAATTTCTGGCACCACTGCTGCTCAGGTGGTATACCTGTAGACCCTCTGTCTGTGAAAAATCGCTCTCTGGGCCCGTCTATTTCGAATTCGTGGACCTGCTACAGGTCTATTTTTCTAATACTATAGTACCATCTGCAATAAACCTCACTACAAGGAAGTAATGAAGTCACATTTTTCGCTGGAAAAAGTGTGTGACTGGCAGTCGAAGGCAACATTAAATTTTGGCTATGTAGTGTACAGATAACATTTGGTGATGGAGGCATTTTATCGAGTTATTATGTAATTAAGTCACATTTTTCGCTGCAAAAGGTGTGCGATCGGCGGTCAACGGCAACATTTAATTTGGGGGGAAAAATTCAAAAATATAAACTGTGGGCTATATAGACCATTTTATCAGATTTATTTTGAAACAGCGCCGCCAATGTCTCACAACACACTGGGGACTTCCAGCGGCCTAGCCTGAGCAGCTGGCTAGTTACAAATACAGCACCACGCAGCAGAAACCTTTGCTATAGCAGCAGTAGACAACAGATACGATCTTGCTAATAACTGTAATTGCTGTATATGTAAACATTGAAATAGCTTTTTAAGACTTAGACTTGTTTTTAATATAAATATTTTCGTGTTTTTTTTTTTCGTTTTAAAATATTTGTGCTCGTTAATAATTTAGTTTTATCGTTGATTTAATCCATGACGGTAACTACGTAGAGCGAAATGCTAGTCCTCTGAAAGTCCCCCAGTGGTAGTTGCCAGGTTATGTGAAATTTTTATTTCAAATTTCACGAAAATGGTCTATATGTACAGATAACATTCGGTAATGGAGGCATTTTATCGAGACAACTTCCATATTTGGAGGCACAACATTTTTTTTCCAGGCCTGGCAAAAGTATACAGGATAATTTTTATCAATTACTGTGTTATGAGGATAATTACTTGAGACAGAGATATCGGGCTGTTATCTGTATTAAAGAAATATGTTGACATGGTGGCGTTGTTTCAAAAATGGTACTGTACTAGGGTTTGCCTGATCTGTATTGCATTTCTTCGGTGTATTGTGCACATTAAAAAAGAAATTGAACCCAGAAGGTTTGAATTTGGAAATGTGAACATTTACATTTTCACCGGTCTATATTAAGCAAGTAGAGTCAGGTTTTGAGTACACTACAGGAAATAGAAGCCAAAGAAGCCGTTATTTCGTGAAAAAATTGCCAGAAACTCACATGGCTGAAGGCAGTTTTTGAAGGAAATAATGGCTGTTAGGGCTTCTATTTCCTATAGCGTCAGAAATTACTTGACTATAAATTGCTTTATAAGTCAGTTGTGACATCCATCACCTTTTCTATCTCCCTTTAACCAAACTGCTGGTTGTAAAGCGGTTGCTATATAAATCAAACTGCTAGTTGCGGTGGTCGGTTGCTTAGTGATCACTATTATATTAAAACGTAGTACGCGCACTGAAGAAGAAGATGAATAAATTGAATGTGGTTAAAGAAGCTTTTTAGGTATACCTCCTAACCTCCTGGTAGACATTTGTGTAATAAATTAAAATGTATTGTATTGAATTATTTCTAGGTCTTATTCATGTTCCCAGTGCCGTAGAGCGAGATTTGTTAGATTTACTGTGTGTTACAGCTTGGCCTAGCAACGAAAAAATTCCATTGCGATGTACTTCAGTAAAATCACACCAGCTATAAGCATTTTGCACATGATATGCAAAACATCGGAAGCACTATATCGAATTAGCGATCAGTCTAGAATAGGAAAATTCAGTGCAAATGAAAGTGATGACGTCACCACTGACTTATAAAGTGTATTATTTTGAACAGTTTTCTATAACCATGTTTTCAATTATTTAGGTGTATTTTTCTTGTAATTTATTGCAGTAATGAATTTCACCAAACCTAAACTTCTAAATAGATTCATTCACTTGAACATTAATAATAAGCCAGGCTTAAGTGATCAGTTGTCCTCTCATCTACACAATTTGTAGTTGTGACATTTTTTGGTATCTACAGTAATTATTTTACCTTATTTTCATATCATAAGTTGTAAATAAATAAAAACAAATTGACATAACAAGTTTTATGAATTGTAGTTGGTATGGGTGTTATACCATTGGTGTTTTTTCTTTTCATTGATGCTTCCCAAAAATACATATAGTTCCACATTTCGATGGCTTTAAATATAACTAAAGTTTTCTGGAAAATGTTCATAGTAACCAAAGGGTCACATGCTGATTTTTGTCCTCTTGCCTCTAAATCAATAACTTACTTTGAATAGCTCTGGTGAGACAGATGTGGGAAGAGGAAAAAGGAAGGAGAAATGACTTTAACATTATACGGAAAACTGCACCACGTATACAGACATAAATAGAAATTTATTCATAGTGCATTCATAAGTGCAAGATTCACATCAATTATATAAGACTTAATTTTATAGAAGCAAGTTTTATTATATTGCATACAAGTCCACACCTTCCACAGTTGTATCTCAACTCGCATTTTATTATTTCATTAAAGCTGTGTCCAGATTATCAAATTTCCTCAGACAAAAAAATGTTGCATGCCCATATATAGTCATGACATGTCTATATATGGTTGGTGTAGCCATAATTACCATATTTAGGCATGTCACATGATTTTGTCAAATAAAATTTTGATAGTCTGGTCAGGCCTTATATATCAAAAATATATGAAAGCTTTCAGATTTACATAAATCTCTTTATACTTAATAAAACATTTATTTTAAATTAAATTTTAAATAACCAATTTTGTAACTCTTTGGAAGGATTATATTAAAACATTTCAATCTGATAAGTCATCATATTTAACCTACTCTGATATAATGTTAAATTATTAAAAACTATTGATCATGGTGGACGTATGCATGCATACTGTACTTCAACCATGATATTAATCGGATATGTAAGAGCATAAATATTGTGAATAGCTATATTTCATTGCAAACATTTAGTATTAACTTTAATAGTATTTACTATTACTGTTAAAATACATTGTTGAGCTAAAAAAAAGTTGTTACTACTGATAACTATACTCTGATAAAAATACAACATTCATCATTTTTCATAATTTAATGTACATTAGACAATGGAAGTGAGAAAGGAAATAACTGCAGTTTCAGAATCTTTTAGTAATAAAATTGGTAAAATTTAAAGTGGACACAAGAAAAGGAAGGGGGTTATTATAGAGGGTGACCTTCGAACATTAAATTATTTAAATAAAGTAAAGTGTTTATATTTAATTTGAATACTTGAAAGATGTTGGCGTATAACATCATGGAATGCTGTAGATAAAGTATAAATTAAATTAGATTAAATGATAGCAATAACTTTTAATGGCTAAACAATAATGCAAAATCTTAAGTCGATTTGCATCAATTATCCCATGTTTTCATGATTCTGTCATGCAAAAATGCAATGCGATCGGCTGTAATGTGGCATGTCAAAAATATGTCCATACCGTAATCACTTGTTACACATGTGTGTATGACAAACAAATACAAGAAATAGAAATGATATGAAGTGTGTGTGAATGGCAGGACAAAAGTATACATAATATCGCCAAATGTGCATGTGTACCCAGGCCATGGAGTATTTGCATAAACAAGTTGCAAAGAGATCTATTAAACATCCAAAATATTAATTGATACTGGCATGATTCCAGGGCTATTACCCTTATACAGTTAAACCACTATTAAGGATACACCTTCGGAACCAAATAAAGTGTCCATTAATAGGGGTGTCCCTTGAATAGGGGTTGGCTGTAGTGTTAAAAATATACTTTCCCTCGTTTTGTGGGCGAAAAGTGTCCCCTTAACAGGGGTGTCCTAAAAGAGGGTTCTACTGTATCTCCATTTTCAGTAACCATTTATTTGTGTGTGAAACCCATCTAACTCAATGGTATGATTCTAGGGGTCGCCCTTCTCTTGAAATTTGGTTAAATGGGTTGCCAGGTGGAACTAAAGTCACCATTTTAGACATCCTGGACGTTCGACGATGCGCTGAACCTGTATGGTAATTTGGAAGCATTCTGTGAATAGAAAAAAATTGGTTTATGGCAATAAAATTCATAACAAAGAATGATTTGGAAGCTACATTTTTATCATACCTCAGTAACATCAAAATCTTTTTTTCTATTGTATTACAGTCCATTAATGTGTACAGGCACTACTACAAAGGTGAAGGCATCACCAAATATGACTATGTATTACATAGTCATATTTGGTGATGCCTTAAAAAGCCAACCATCTGAATAGAGTACAGTACAATGGACTTTCACTAAACTCCGCCCCTTGGATTTTGTTGCTAAGGTCCCACAAATTGAGCATATTCCTGGCCCTGTTCTGATTGGTCAGTTAAGTTTGATTGACACTCCGTTCATTCATATCCAGTTTATTATTAAATTATAAATTAAATTAGATTAAATGATAGCAATAATTTTTAATGGGCTAAACAATAATGCAAAATCTTAAGGAAGTCGACTTGCATCAATTATCACATGTTTTCATGATTCTGTCATGCAAAAATACAATGCGATCGGCTGTAATGTGGCATGTCAAAAATATGTCCACACCGTAATCATATCCAGTTTATTATTACTAGGGGTGCGCTCGCTCGTTTGCCCTCCAGTATGTTAAACATTGCGATTAGTTTTGATAACACAGAACAAAAATTCATTACCACTAAAAGAAGATTGGCCTAATTACAGACGGAAATGCACACAAATTCTATGAAAAATATCACTGGCCACGTCAACACCTACCGTCCAGGTTACTGTATTTCACCTAGACAACACATGGATAAATGTGGTGGTGAACGTTATGCATTTACTGTGTCCATCGCTGTGATTTTAGGCTTTGAAATAAGCATAGGCTTAGGATTTGCAATACACTGGTGTATACCCTAGTGTTAGTTTGCTAATATTTGACTTGGCCTGTTAAAATTCCTTTTTACCTGTGAATTCTAGCTGTAGTCTGAGGTGGTGGCAGTGGGACGTTACTATTGGCTGGTTGATTACTTTTCCAGTAAGTGCATCCAGTGTAACCTGGGATGTTGGCTCGCCTATAGAGAAATTATATAATAAAAATATGTGTTTAAAAGGATAAGCTGACAGATTGTAAGAAGTCAAGATGTTAGCGACTACCGGTGTCATTCTTTATTTGTGTTATATAACTTAAAAAAACATAAAAATAAACTACTTAAGTGGTTGTCTGAAGAAATAGGCTATAAAGGCTAAAACCACATATTCTTACTGAAAGTAAAACTGGAAGGATACACCTATAAATGTGTTCCAACCCCTGGAACTCAAAATTTGGGAGACTGGAAGCTTCTTTTTATTCTGATCTTTCAAGGTGTCAGTAACACTTGGAAAATTGTCATACACTGATAAAGTCGGTACACAAAGGAAAAATTTGTGTACCGAGTTTGGTATTTATGGGTTGTTTTCTTAAAATTTTGGAGAATTTTATAAAATTGAATAGACAGCAAGATTGCATGAAAATATGGGAGGTTTGGTACATATGATAGTGTAATGTACTATGAACAAATAAGAACGTACCTGGCAGTTTCTGTGTATCGTGGTTTCACAGTCCTTACAACAGTTTGTGGTATATAGAACACTCTTGGGTTATCCTGCTCCCCTTCTGTTCCTAGGTAGCCAGTGTAGTTGGGTATCTGATTCACTTTACGGTATGGGCTACAACTATAAACAAATAAAAATATTATTACTAAAATATGTAACATATGTGAGCTGTCCTGACAAAATGAGTCATTTTACAAAAATTGAAAATGAGTTATTGATATATTTAGGTAGATGAATATAAGCTTTAATTTGGCCTTTGAATGAAGTACCTAGCATGTGTACAACCGGAGTAAAATTGTCTTTGAATTCTGTCTGAAAACATGCTTTAGAGAAATCACCACTAATGATAAACAACTGATAAATTTTGTGTTGGTTTTCCTATCAATTCTGCAAAAGTGCTTTACAAAATGTGCCTCAAAAACACATTTAACTAATGTAAATCAACTCACAACATTATTTATTGTGGAGTATACATATTAAATCTATCAGAAACATTCATATGTATTTTTCTCAATATCGAAAATTGATCTGGCATACAAGACTCATTTTGTTACAACAGCTAGATGCGGATTTGCCCCAAAATCTATTTAAAGAATGTAAAAATTACAACGAACCATATCTCTAATTTTTCTTTAGAATTGTGCAATATCTAAAACTGCAAAATGCTAGTTTAGATTCAAATGTGGTAAGTGAATTTAATAGACCAACAAATTAATAAATGTACAGTATAACTTTTCACTTACAACTCTACTGGACCGACGAAATGGTAGCCATCTCGTACTTGAAACCTATCCCACGTCCTTCCAAGATTCTGATAATTTTGTGAGGCAGGACTATAACGTTTGTTCTCGTTGAAGCAGTGTGATACTCGGTCAGCTTGCGGCTCAATGGTGGATGCTGGTGGGAGCACCTTAGGTGGCAGCATTGAGTCCCAGTCTACATCCTCATATGCTCTGTAATAGTTATTATTATTATTATTATTATTTATTATCATTATTATTGTTATTATTATTTATTATCATTATTATTATTTATTACCATTATTATTATTATTATTATTATCATCATTAGTCATTCTTTGACAGAATATTTGGCTACTAGCATGCCTAGTATCAACATTTTATTTTTAGTTGATTGTATTAATTACACTTTAATTGGCATTTTTACAGGATGACACAGGAGGAAACACACCCATCCATATTTAGGAGTCTTGAAATGGTAGGGGGTGGGGACACAAAGGAGTAGAGTGCAGGGGGTGATAAGTTGAAAAATAATGTGATATTGGGCAACTTTGGGATGTAAGCTTTTTTTTGGGGGGGGGGGGGGCGGAAGTGTGTATAAGAGACAGCAATTGGAAAGATAAATCCTCCCCTCTGTGTAGCCCTAGATACGCCACTGCTGTCCAAGAAAATTGGCGAAGTGAATTAATCACAGGAATTACATTGCACCAAAGGCATAATATCTGTTTTGGGTATTGAATTTTCTTTCTGTATGTTAGAACAAAGTACAGTGCAGATAAGCAACACAGATAAAGTGCCTTGCTCAAGGACATAAGCGAAATGTACAGCGAGGGATTGAAACCCCAACCCTAAAGTTGGGAAACCAAACCGTTCCCACTGCACCAAACCGCTTCCGATTTGGAGAGATGTTGAATAGCTTGGTGGTTATAAAGGCACATTCTCCGGTAAAGTGCTCAACTTTGCCATTTTCGTGTCGCTTGCATTCGTGTACTTTGTTCAAGCTTGTCCGGCCCGTTATAAATGATTATAGTAGTTTAGTTTATACACGGGAGTTATATTAGTAAAATATAAGAAGCTAGCGGTAGTAACATGTCGGGAAATCATAAAATAATAAAGCTGAAAATGCATAATCTTTGTTTTTTTCCCATGTCGCCAGCCAAGATGCGTTCCATATAATGTTCCCCTGCTCGTTACATATGAGTGCATATCAAAGATAATGCATACTATTTAACAGCCTGCATTAGGCCCTAATTATAGAGTATAAAACTTGACAATATCAAGTCACCGAATTTTTACAAGAGCTTCTTGAGAGCATGTCGCCAATATTGCAACTAGATACGTTACCGTTTTTCACATGGGTACTAACGTGCGAAAATAAAAAGGTAGATGAATGTTTCCATATGAGTTTAATCAAGTTGACTTGGATGTTACATAACATATTTGGTATATGAAAATGTGGCTTTAAAATATTGATGTACAAGTGTATTAATGTCAAAAAAGCACTGTGTTACGTTCATGTCGCAACAGATACGTTACCTACATTCTACTGCCCTCTGGAAAAATGCCGTGCATTATGAAGAGCAATTCTATACCATACTTTAGTATGTTAAGAGTCACCTGATCGAGTGTAAAGATTAAGTCGGTAAGTATGCAGTTTTGACCAAAGACTTTCGATTAAGAAAAGAGTCAGCCAGATACGTTACGACAAATACGTTACTATTGTGCAAACGAGACCTACGCGTCATCAATTCCCGCGTTCTTCACATGCGACTTACATTTCCGACAACCTTGAATGGCGAACTATATTTAGTGGTATTTTGTCGGATACACTGTCCACAGTGGTGAGTATCTTTATCAAGTATATTTCAGAATAATTTTAGAATGTATTGGGCCACATATAAAAGGTTTGGAGCATATTTTATAGACATAATTTTATGTATACAAATGCAAGGCTATCAACTGGCTATGAATGGTTCGTATATGGTTTAGTATGTAAACGTATTAACAACGTAGTAGACCGTTGACAAACTGGTAACGTATCTGATCAGCTTTGTAACGTATCTGTTAAAATGTTGTTCTTTCATTTACAATGCATAACTAGGATAATACAGCTGTAGAGTGACATCTTACCTTTCAAATATATAAATGTGAAACTAGCGGGTATGATTTAATGGGGGAGTTGAAAAGGGGGAGTGGTAAGAGCCAAGCTTTTACCAACTGTGAAACTGAGCGGAGGGCTCGGTAACGTATCTGTTACAACATTATTCTTTCATTTGCAATACATTGTGACGGCAATACAGCTGTGTATGGTGGCACTTCGGAAAGTTTGAGTTCCAAACCAGTATGATAAAAAGTATATTCAACGATTTACGTTGATACGGTGTTGAGGAGCCCCCTCAATTTCCATCAAAAATGAAATTGAATGTAGAGTCGGTAAGTCTGCCATGATGGCAGATTTTTGAGCGTACACGAATTGCAAATAATATGGATATTTACAGCAGGGCTCATCAAGTTGTTGATTATCATAATCAAAGAGTTTGTTCAGTTTAAAAGTAGCAGAAATTAATTTTGAAGAAGTAATCTGAATGCAATACAAATGAATTAAAATAAATATTACAAAAATATTTGCGGATATTGCTTTAGATATTCACATAAGGTTTTTTAGTTGTTTTTTGTTTTGTTTGTTTGTTTTTTTTTATAAAATCTTAACAAATTTCTTTTCTATTTCCCTCTCTCTTTCTTCAGAAAAATGAGGAAAACGCGTGCGGAAATACAAAAGGCGTACAAAGAGAGGAAGAAATTAAATGACCTGTCTCTTATACACATCTAGATGTGTAAATACGTTACGACGGATACGTTACTATTGTGCAAACGAGACCTACGCGTCATCAATTCCCGCGTTCTTCACATGCGACTTACACTTCCGACAACCTTGAATGGCGAACAACATTATTGCGCTAAGCCATTGCTATATTTAGTGGTATTTTGTCGAATACACTGTCCACAGTGGTGAGTATGTTTATCAAGTATATTTCAGAATAATTTTAGAATGTATTGGGCCACATAGAAAAGGTTTGGAGCATATTTATAGACATAATTCTATGTATACAAATGCAAGGCTATAGTCAACTGGCTATGAATGGTTTGTATATGGTTTAGTATGTAAACGTATTAACAACGTAGTAGACCGTTGACAAACTGGTAACGTATCTGATCAGCTTTGTAACGTATCTGTTAAAATGTTGTTTTTTCATTTACAATGCATAACTAGGATAATACAACTTGTAATGGAGTACTGTACATGTAGACCTATTATGTGTATTTAATTGTTAATACTTGGTGATTGTAGAATTTATTCTACATTGTTTGTTACATTTGATTATATCGGGTGGAGCAACATTAAGGAAGTGAAATGTTTATTTTATATATACACATGGTTATTTAGGAGACAATGCAAGCTGGCAGATGCTGGGCATTGTATATGTCACTGTATAAAGATCATTGATATTTTATGATTGGTTAATGAGTGATCATGTGATTATAGGCTTGTATGTGATTGGTTTACATACCAATGATGGCTTGGTATAATTATAGTGGGAAACTTGAATTTATAGTTAAGTTTGGTACAACACTTCAAGACTAAAGTTCTCTCTTCCGGCAAGGGCGCCGCGCCTCTGTTAAGTTGATTGCTGAGTTGACATTAAAGTTAAGATTTGAAATTACAGTATATCTGTGTGGGCTGAATTGTTTGAAGTACATTGGTTTCTGGAGTTGATGACCAAGAAGTGTGCTAATTGTGTTTAAATCAAGTACAGTACAACCAGAAGACGTGAAGTACAGAAGTCAGCTACAGTATAGTAAAACAAATACTATACATCGTCACAACTAATATACAAAGTTACATGGTGGCAGCGGTTAAAGAAATTTATTTCATTGCTACGTCATCGGATGCCGAAGTGATCGGATCACGACTACAGTAAATTGGTGGAGCTGTGAAATGACGAATTGGTCTGGTCTGGTAATGCAGTTGATATAGTGAAGCAAAATTGATCTGGTAGAGCAGAGTTGGCCCAGGTGACACAGAGAAGAGTTCAACTGAAGTGACATGAATATTTGAGAAGTTGGTGGGCAACGCAAAACTGGTGTATGGTTAAAGAGACAAACATTTTGGTGCAGTGCAGCTGTTAAGAACTGAAGTCAAGATGCAAATTGCAGTGGTGAAGACAGCGCTGTTATGGTGTGGCAAGGTCAAGACAAGAAAACTGAAGAAGAGTACTGTAAATTGTGTATACAAATTTGAGGTAGGGTCTATGATTTGTTCCTTTGAAAATTTGATTACAAAAAGATGCATATTACTGTAGGCCTGTTATATTGTATATTGTTGTATTTGTTAAGTTAATGGAAGCTTATGATATAGTATTACGATCTAGTACACGGATTAAGTCTGTAAATTGTGAAGTAAATATTACAGAAAACATGGCAGAAAATAATGAGATACCTATATGTAATGGGGATGATATTGAAGATAGTAGTGAAAGTAATTATGAGGTAGAAGATAAGTTGGGTATGAACCAAGGGATACCAGCTGGTATATCTCCAGCAGAATGGCTTAAATATCAATTAGAATTAAAAAGATTAGATTTACAAGCTAAACAATTGGAAGCTGACAAAGAGAACAAAAGATTAGAATTGGAAACTCAAGTTAAAATTAAAGAATTAGAAGCGTAAAACAAAGGTAACAAAAATAATAGTGGTAATAGGCAAAACCAGGATGTAGGACGAGTACCGAGGCTAGAAGAAGCCCTACTCAAACCATCAGCATTACCATTGGTAACACCTTTCCTATACACTACATCATAATCAAATGGTTGAAGTGCCAATGCCCATCTCATCAATCTGTTATGAGAAGTCTTCATTTTATCTAACCAACTCAGAGACTTATGATCAGTACAAATTATAAACTTTCTACCATATAAATAGTATCTCAACTTTCCAATAGCCCATATTATAGCTAAACACTCTTTCTCTGGTACAGAGTATCGTTCTTCTCTACTTAATAATTTACGACTCAGATATGCTACTGCATGTTCTTCACCTACATCATTAATTTGACTCAACACAGCACCAATACCAACATTAGACGCATCGGTCTGTAATATGAATAGCTTGTTAAAATTTGGCACACATAATATAGGTTTGTTAATTAAACTCTGTTTAAGTCTGTCAAATGATCCTTGACATTGCTCATTCCATATCACAGTATTAGGCATACATTTCTTCGTTAAGTTAGTAAGAGGTTGAGCAATCATAGCGTAATTAGGTATAAACTTTCTATAATAACCAGTCAGACCTAAGAATGCCCTAACATTCTTTTTACATGTAGGCGTCGGGAACGTTCTAACCGCTTCTAATTTATCACACAAAGGTGATATAGTCCCATTTCCAATCGTGTGTCCTAAAAATGAGACCGATGAATAGGCCATTTTAACACTTAACTGGCTTTACAGTTAAACCTGCCTCTTGGATTCTGCTAAGAACATCTCTAACATGTATTATATGTTCTTCCCAAGTATTACTAAAAATACATACATCATCAATATATGCTCTAGCATATTCATTACACCCATGCAGAACTTTATCCATCAATCTTTGGAATGTTGAACTGCTGTTCTACATCCCTAATGGTAAAACATTGTACACATATTGGCCAAATGGCGTAACAAATGCTGATTTGTACTTAGTATTAATGATCTAAAGGAATTTGATAAAAACCTTTCGTCAAATCTAATGTCGATATATAGCGAGCATTTGACACATCATCTAATATATCATCCATTCTAGGCATTTCATATGGATCGACTTCAGTAACTTTATTCAAAGCTCTATAATCTGTACATATTCTAATATCGCCTCCTGGTTTTGAAACAACAACAATAAGAGATGCATAAGCACTGTTTGTAGGTTCAATTATACCTAGTTCCAACATAGATTTTATCTCATCCTGTACCTTGTCCTTTATAGCATGAGGAGTTCTATACGCCCTCTGTCGGACAGGAATATCATTAACAGTGATTAAAGTATGCGACGTATACGTCGTTCTACCAGGTACATCTGAGAATATTAACTCATATTCATTAAGTACAGATTTCAATTCACCTCTTTGCATTGATGATAATTCATTAGATATATTTACATCTTTCCATGTTTGAGTTTGTAAGAACTTAATATCTGTGTCTACATCCATACATTTCATTTCAATATCATCAGATTGATGTACCTCCTCCATTTCATTATAAGTAGTTAAAGTACTACTTGAGGAAATTTCACCTTGAAATTAATAAGCTGGTAGTAATACATTGTTATCAATTATTAATCCTTTAATTAGCATATGAGGGTAGGCCTATATTAATAATATTAATATTAATATTAATACTTTTAATCCTTTAATTAGCATATGAGGGTAGGTCTATATTTATTATTAATCCTTTAATTAGAATAATAAGGGTAGGTCTATATTAATTTTAATAATATTATTAATCCATAGTTAGCATGAGGGTAATACTGGGGGTAGGTCTATATTTATTATTAATCCCGTAATTAGCATAATGATGGTAGGCCTATATTAATAATTATAATAATATTCCTTTGATTTGCATGAGGATAGGTATATATTAATTTTTCTTATCAATATTATTAATCCCTTAATTAGCATAATGAGGGTAGGCGTATGTTAATATTAATACTCCTTTCTAATTAATTCTGAAAAGAACTGTTGAGATTGTCATGATGTTAAATAATAATACTAATAATAATTATAATATAAAACTTACATAGGGTGATCTCATCCTGTTTTCACAAATAGTATATAGTAATGTAAATTCCTATTCCAATGTAATGTAAATTCCTATTCCAAAAGGCGATCTTTTTTTTCCTACACAATTTCCTATATTAATACTTTAATTCCGTGCATTAACGGAAGCGGGGTTTTCAAAAAGATTGTTCCAAACACGTTGAGGCCTGACCATGGCATGACGAATAATGAAAATCCGATAGATTTGAGATACGTACCCAGACAGTTCCGGATAAATGACGTCTTAGTGAGATTAAACAATGAGCAACGTGTCCTTCGAGATAAGGGGCTGGTGTGTAATGAAAAATCGTGATATGTACGGGTCCGTGATGTCTGAGTGACGTTTTATTTATTTATTCTTTGTTTAAAACGGAGAGGATTTGTTTTATAGTAATATATTTAAAATAATGGTAGTAATAAAAATTTTAATGATGAAAATTAAAATATTCGTAAATAATTAGGACTATAATAATGATAATAATAAAATACTTGGATTAACGTATGTTTGTTGATGGTAGTGAAGTATTGTATCATCAGCATACATGCTAATTTTTACATTACAAACACTTAATCCCTTAATTAGCATAATGAGGGTAGGCGTATGTTAATAATAATACTCCTTTCTAATTAGTTCGGAAAAGAACTGTTGAGATTGTCATGATGTTAAATAATAATAATAATACTAATAATTATAATATAAAACTTACATAGGGTGATCTCATCCTGTTTTCACAAATAGTATATAGTAATGTAAATTCCTATTCCAATGTAATGTAAATTCCTATTCCAAAAGGCGATCTTTTTTTTTCTACACAATTCCCTATATTAATACTTTAATTCCGTGCATTAACGGAAGCGGGGTTTTCAAAAAGATTGTTCCAAACACGTTGAGGCCTGACCATGGCATGACGAATAATGAAATATTGTATTTCGGCTAAGCCTACTTCCCACTGTCTGCTAAGGCGTATGGGCTCGGCTAATTTTGTAGTGTAACTGGTTAGTGTATTTTCGGGAAAATAATTCATCGAGCTATTGCTTGGTAGCGTAATATAGAACTGCGATGCCATTGTACTTATCTGACTAGATTCTGTACCCAACTGTTGAATTTTGAAGGGTAGCCTAACCATTTAACAAAGTACTCCGTTTTAACCATTGCGTTTTCGCTTTCGTAAGACCTTTTCCATGCGATAGGTATCTTTATCGGTTTTAGAAACTTTTTGTAACTCTTTCTCATAGAAAGTACCATCGATTTCTTCTCCATTCCAGTCTTTTACTTCATACGTTGGAGCAGGCGTTCCTTTACGATTGGATATTGTAAATATTTCTTCCGACCAGTTTGCTAGATAACCTTTCTCAAAAAGCATTTTATATCTACTAATACGAACTTGATCACCGATTTTAAACCTTAACCTTTGTTTCTTGACTTGTTGCTTGTTTCCGTATAGAGTTTGCCATACATCATGTTCCTTTTCTTTTGTAACGAGTGTAGGCGCTGTGCCAATAGATCTGTGTTTTGAACTGTTGTAACTAGAAACAAGTTTGGGCAGCGCATCGATATATTTATTGGTTCCTTTAGACGTGAAATATCGCCACATCCTCGTTTTTAATGTCCTGTTAAAACGCTCAACAACACTAGACTTTGTTTCATTGTTTGTCGTAAAGAAATGTATGTCTTGCGATTTAAGATATGCTTGAACCTTTTTGTTTGTAAATTCTGAACCCTTATCTGTATGAATTTTTAAAGGTTTTCTTTTACCGGATAGTAGTTTTTTCATAGCATCCAATATTGTATCGGAAGATTTGTTCTTAATAGGGATAGCCCACGCATATTTCGATAATACATGGATACATGTAATGAGAAATTTAAATTGTTTATTGTAACGTTTTATTGATGTTAGGTCCACGAGATCCAATTCCCACTGTTTGTCTATAGCTGTTACGTATACTCTATTTCTATTGAAACGTCGTTGAATAGGCTTATGTAATGTGTATGTATCTTGTCTGTTCAACCAATCTTGTACTTGTTTTTTATTAATATTTAACTCGCTTTTCACACTCTGATAAAGTCGTTCTGCACCCCCAAAACTGCCTGGATGCTTAGGATCGTAATACGCTTTTCTCAATTTCTCATCAATTCCGTACACTCTCACTCATTCAAATGAAACGAGACAACTAAATCGAAGACTAATAACCATTTTAAAATTTTCTTCAAATACTATATTTTAATTAATACAAAACAATTCACCAAACAGACTTTCACATTATTACAAAGAATGAAATTAATAAATTACAAAAATTACGATTTTAATAAAATGAATGAAATTATTAAATAATGAACAAATAATATTTACAATTTTTTAACAGCAATAAAAGTATTATTAATAAAAATAAATAAATAATATTATAAAACTTGAATTTGCTTAACAACACAAAATACTGGTAATATTTATGATGTCCATGCATTTAAAAGTTTTTCAAACAAATGAATATCTGCTTGAATTAAGTTATCCGTATCACTGATAACAATGATTTCATTGTCGCTGATAACAATTGGTTCTTCATTAATCGATGAAAAATTTATAGCGGGGAGCTCATCCTCACTGCTGCTGCTAATAATGATTGGTTCATCGTTGAAAGAAAAATATTCTTCATTTACCATGATGTCCATGCATTTAAAAGTTTTTCAAACAAATGAATATCTGCTTGAATTAACAGTAAAAAATTATGAAAAGTATTTTCGCAAGAAATAAGGCCTTGACGATCAAGCCACAAATCATACAGAACTTGATCGTCAATATAACCTTCGTATAATATTTTCTCGAAAAACATCGTCATCTGCTCGTGGGGTGTCATCATCAGGCATATGTCATGATCAATTTGGCTTGGCCGGTCAAATTCACAGCCGTAGCATTCTAGTTTTATTAAATTTCTGAGTGAAAGCAAAAATTCTTCTAAGTAAATAGTCTCTAAAATTTCTTTCGCCATCATCTCAGCATGTTGTTCTTGATCAAAAACACTATCGTCGTATAAGTTATCAGGGTTCGTCGCCAGGTAGCGGTGGTAGTCATGAAAGTTGTATATCGGGTTATATATGATTTCGTCTTCAGTAAGGTGATTGATTGGTTCCAGATCGAAAACGGGTGTTTCCATATCACTGATAACAATGATTTCATCGTCGCTGATAACAATTGGTTCTTCATTAATCGATGAAAAATTTATAGCGGGGAGCTCATCCTCACTGCTGCTGCAAATAATGATTGGTTCGTTGTAAGACGTTAGGTCGATAGCAGGAAGCACATCCTCACTGCCGCTGCTGCTACTAATAATGATTGGTTCATCGTTGAAAGAAAAATATTCTTCATTTACCATGATGTCCATGCATTTAAAAGTTTTTCAAACAAATGAATATCTGCTTGAATTAACAGTAAAAAATTATGAAAAGTATTTTCGCAAGAAATAAGGCCTTGATGATCAAGCCACAAATCATACAGAACTTGATCGTCAATATAATCTTCGTATAATATTTTCTCGAAAAACATCGTCATCTGCTCGTGGGGTGTCATCATCAGGCATATGTCATGATCAATTTGGCTTGGCCGGTCAAATTCACAGCCGTAGCATTCTAGTTTTATTAAATTTCTGAGTGAAAGCAAAAATTCTTCTATGTAGATAGTCTCTAAAATTTCTTTCGCCATCATCTCAGCATGTTTTTCTTGATCAAAAACACTATCGTCGTATAAGTTATCGGGGTTCGTCGCCAGGTAGTGGTGGTAGTCATGAAAGTTGTATATCAGGTTATATATGATTTCGTCTTCAGTAAGGTGATTGATTGGTTCCAGATCGAAAACGGGTGTTTCCGTATCACTGATAACAATGATTTCATCGTCGCTGATAACAATTGTTTCTTCATTAATCGATGAAAAATTTATAGCGGGGAGCTCATCCTCACTGCTGCTGCTAATAATGATTGGTTCGTTGTAAGACGTTAGGTCGATAGCGGGAAGCCCATCCTCACTGCTGCTGCTGCTACTAATAATGATTGGTTCATCGTTAAAAGAAAATCAGGTAGCCATGGTTGATAAAGCAACACTCGTAGAGTTCGATAATTTCGAAAAAGTGAATGATTTCACATTGACAAGAAGAGCTTATATATTCTTCATTTACCAGCACAATTGTAATCAAGTTTTAAAGTAATTTTTATTAATCCGCATAAGTATTAAAATCATTTGTACTGGCTGTCGGAAATTTGTACCATCAAATTTTTATTTTTCTTCCTCTGCGTGTTTCCTCTTTCATTTTGAATTCGACTTTAATAATTTAACATAGTCAAATTGTATTGGTTGCTACCATCCGTTATCTCCATCATTCGGGCTTAAGCAGTATGAACATCCGGGACAAGTGTGTCGATATACGCCTATTTCACACATCCCAGTCTAGCACGTGCATGAACAATCAGGGGCAACTAAAACATTGTTGATAATCTTGTGACGCTTGGTATTTTCATCATTGTTTGTTTCGTCGGGATGTTTCCCATTGTCGTTATAATCCGTTCCAACACCACATTCATCTGTACCGTTGATCTCTTGTAGCATATCTTCAACTTAATTAGTCAAAATCGTCATAGCATTTGATACCATTGATTCATAGAAAGATTAATTCCCTTTCTACTAGGGAAAAATTTTCCACGGTCTTCTTTTCGGTAGTATTCGCGAATGCAGATATATGTTTTCCCGTTCCATCTCTGTGCGACAACATGTCTCTCTTTCGATAAATGGATACGTTTGGTTGCCATGACAGTTTCTGCATTCTCCATAATAGGTTGTAGTGTTGGCGTGAACGATGCGCTAGCATTTGGCCCAATTTCAACTTTCTGTTTTTTGGTAGGCTGCATAACGCGTTGCATAGTCGCCTTTGCCTTCTCGGTGATCTTGAAGTCGGTGAGATCGGTTGTTGGCATATAGAAGTTCATTCTTGCAGAATTATATAACAGTATTTCGAAGAGACGAGAGTTGAAATTTACCACGATGTAGTTGAGCAAACTGATGCTCTTACCTAAAATTTTCCTCTATTTTATAGAACCTACAGTACACTACCATCAACAAACACACGTTAATCGCTGTATTATAATTAATATAATCATAATTTTTTATTTTATTTTATGACTGTTTTTATTTTCATTCATTAAAATTTTTTATTACTACCATTATTTTAAATATATTACTATAAAACAAATCCTCTCCGTTTTAAACAAAGAATAAACAAACGTCACTCAGACATCACGGACCCGTACATATCACGATTTTTCATTACTCACCAGCCCCTTATCTCGATGGACACGTTGCTCATTGTTTAATCTCACTAAGACGTCATGTACCCGGAACTGTCTGGGTACGTCTCTCATTGGCTAATTTCACTATACGTCTGTACCCTCAAATCTATCGGATTTTCATTATTCGTCATGCCATGGTCAGGCCTCAACGTGTTTGGAACAATCTTTTTGAAAACCCTGCTTCCGTTAATGCACTACTATAGGAAATTGTGTAGAAAAAAAAAAGATCGCCTTTTGGAATAGGAATTTACATTACATTGGAATAGGAATTTACATTACTATATACTATTTGTGAAAACAGGATGACATCACCCTATGTAAGTTTTATATTATAATTATTAGTATTATTATTATTATTTAACATCATGACAATCTCAACAGTTCTTTTCAGAACTAATTAGAAAGGAGTATTATTATTAACATACGCCTACCCTCATTATGCTAATTAAGGGATTAATAATATTGATAAGAAAAATTAATATATACCTATCCTCATGCAAATCAAAGGAATATTATTATAATTATTAATATAGGCCTACCATCTTATGCTAATTAAGGGATTAATAATAAATATAGACCTACCCCCAGTATTACCCTCATATGCTAACTATGGATTAATAATATTATTAAAATTAATATAGACCTACCCTTATTATCCTAATTAAAGGATTAATAATAAATATAGACCTACCCTCATATGCTAATTAAAGGATTAAAAGTATTAATATTAATATTAATATAGGCCTACCCTCATATGCTAATTAAAGGATTAATAATTGATAACAATGTATTACTACCAGCTTATTAATTTCAAGGTGAAATTTCCTCAAGTAGTACTTTAACTACTATTATATACATCATATATATGTCCTGTGACATAGTGACATTCAGTCTGTCTCTTTTCATGATCACGGTCATGCCATCTCTTGCAACTATTTACATGTACTACCTTCCTGTTCTTACGTTTATCATTCATTTGTACGATATAATTGACCTCATCTAACTTATCAATAATCTTATATGGGCCTTGCCATTTACTATTCAGTTTAGTTGCTCCTTCTGGCAAAAATACCAGAACCTTATCATTTACACCAAATTCTCTATATTTACAATTAAGATCATAATACTGTTTCATTTTCTTTTGACTCTCCCTAAGGTTACTAGTCGCATCACCCATCCAATCTGTAATGCGCTCTCGCATTTGCCCAAGATAAGCCACTACATCCTTATCATCATTATCTGAGGATACCCAATTTTCCTTAACTAAAGTTAATGGTCCTCTAACATCTCTACCATACAACAGTTGAAAGGGAGAATAGCCAGTTGCCTGACTTGGGACTTCCCTATAAGCAAATAGAAATTGTGGAACATACTCATCCCACTCTTTGTATTGTTCAGGAGTAAGTGCTCTCAGCATATTTTTCAGAGTACCATGAAATCTTTCAATAAGACCATTAGTTTGAGGGTGATTGCTTGATATTTAATCTAATACACACATCCCCCATCACTTTAGACATGAAATTAGTACCTTGATCATGCACAATTTCCTGAGGAATACCCGTTCTAGCAAACACTGTTATAAGTGCTTTCACTACAGTTTCCGCACGAATGTTCGTAAGCGGAATTGCTTCTGGATACCTAGTAGCGTAGTCACATATGGTTAACAGATACATATTGCGTTTACGAGTTCTACCTAATGGCCCTACAATGTCTATACCTACTCTCTTAAATGGAGTGTCTATCACAGGCATAGGTATTAAAGGATTCTTACGTTTAGTCTTGCTTTTATCCATCATTTGGCATACAGCACAAGTACGAAAATAATTAGCTACATCGGAAAATATGCCCTGCCAATAGAAATTCATTAAGATCCTGTCTTTAGTCTTTTTAACACCAATATGCCCAGCCATAGGTATGTCATGAGCTATTCTCATAATCTCAGGCCTACACTTCAGTGGTACCACAATCTGCTCTACTACACTGTTATCATTAATCTCAGTATCCTTTCTTCTCCATTGTCTCATCAGTACATCATTTCTCATAAAGAAACATACCCTATGCTCATGAATCTTATCAATAGGTATAACCCTTTCTCTAATGGATTTTAACGTACTATCCTCTTTCTGTCTGAAAATTATTTCTTCTCTACTGATCATATTAACATCACCATTATCATTTTGCGTATTATGTTTAAGTGTCTTAGGATGTACTAGCTCATCGTTGTCTTCAGTATTGAATAGACAATTGATATCATTCTCATCTATGTTACTTAACCAATTATCCTTAACAACCTTCATATTATCATTGTAGACATTGCTATCAGTATTGGTTTCACTAGCAATTTCATCTTTATCCTCAACTTCATTAAGTTTGACACCTCCTACTGTCTCTAAAAATTCTCTTTCTCCTACTGTAACCTCTTCAAATTCTTTCTGTGCTTGAGCTCTAGTCAAAACACATAGATCCTTAGCTATAATCTTGCTACAATTAGCATCTAAATCATGTCCCAGCAAGATATCTCTCTGTAATCCTTCAATCACTGCTACTTCTACTTTTCCCGTCACTACTTTACAGTTCAAGTCTACTAATGCTAACGGAACAGTCACTGTCCCTCCTATACCACTTACTGTTATAGTCTTATTGATATAACAGTGATCAGGCACAATATCTGCCCTTATGGCTGACTGAGTACAAGCTGAATCCCTCAATATTTTGACATGTCAGCCTTCCACACTACCATCTATAATACACTGCTCTATTCTAGACTTGGCAGTATCTAACATACGCATAGGTTCCTGTTTCTCACAACTATATACTGACTTAGGATTTGGACCTCTACCATTATGCTTACTAGATTTATTTGTGCAAAATTTGCTCACATGGCCTAACCTACCACACTCGTAGCATCTTATGGATGAAAAGTTATTGTTAGGATTACTATCTGTTCCTCCTATTCTCTGTTAAGTGTGTGTATAGCTACTATCTTTATATCTAGGCTCATATTGTCTATTAGTATTATTACTAAAGTTATGTTTCCTTGATGATTATTCGCCTGATAATCTGGTCGTCTATCACTACCCTTATCATATTTCTGAAACGTATTTGCCTTAGAATAACTGCTACAGTCTGACTGATATTGACGTCCTGACTCCAACTCCCAATAGGAAAATCCACCCCTATTTACAATATAGTCATCAGCTAATTTTGCCATTTCTACACTATCCTTAGGCTTCTTATCTCTAAGATAAATTTTTAACTCTTCAGGCATCTTATTCATAGCTTGTTCCATAATTATCAATTCAACAATGCCATCAGCATCATTGTCTTCTATTCCTGTAGAGAAGAACGATACTCTGTACCAGAGAAAGCGTGTTTAGCTATAATATGGGTTACTGGAAAGTTGAGATACTATTTGTACGGTAGAAAGTTTATAATTTGTACCGATCATAAGTCTCTGAGTTGGTTAGATAAAATGAAGACTTCTCATAACAGATTGATGAGATGGGCATTGGCACTTCAACCATTTAATTATGATGTAGTGTATAAGAAAGGTGTTACCAATGGTAATGCTGATGGTTTGAGTAGGGCTTGAAGTGGAGAATTATATAATTTAATGTAGTTAAGGTAGTATTAAGGTAGTTAAGTATTTTTAGAAGTTTGTAAATGCATCTGTAATCAAAGGTTGGAACTGTTTATGTCATGACCCAATACATATATATATATATATATATATATATATATATATATATAGAATGTAAT